ATACATTTTTATAATTGAATAATTAATATAATACATAATTTTCTTGATGCCAAAGTCAAATGTTAAATTCAAAATGAACAATACTACATTTCATTTTTGAAAACGTTTTCTTAAAGTTGATTGTATTGTTATGTCCTGGATGATTGTGTTTTTGAAAGATGAGATAATGTTTTGAAATTAAATATTTTAAAGATTTATTTAACAGAATGAAACAAGGAAAAATGAACTCCCAATCTGGAAAGCACGTTATTTTTAATCCAGTATTTATTCAATATTTTTACTGAAATAAGATTAATATATATATTAAAGGAACACGAAAACAAAAAAAAAGATTCTTATCGATATTATTGAAGGGTAATAATTAATGTGTCAAATATTAATTTTACTTTAATAAATATTAAAAAGTTAAAATGTCACCATACTTCAAGTTATTAACACCAAGCAGAACTGGATTAGTACGTAAAAATTTTTAACCGAAATTGCACATTTTGCTTTTCCAACTAATTGAAAATGGAAAAAGTTATTTGTTCCATTTAGTCAAAGAAAATCAAGAACTATTACAAATGAAAAGGAATATTATAGAAAAATGATTTCGAGTTTAAAAAAAAGCAATTTATAAACAGAGAATGTAATAATTGTAAAACACTGACAAATTTTGCGAAAAGTGTATTAGTCTAACTTTTCAGTGCTTGGATCTCTTCCATCTCGAATTATCGAATGGATACCTTAAACACTCTTTTCCAATACCATACATATACAAAATTAGTCACGGTCAATTATACAATATTCCAACCTTTGTTGATTTCAGACTCAGCTGTCTATATAAAGAAACGTTGTAATGATGTTTTATATCCTCCTATTGCAATGTGCGCATATATTAAATTTGGTTTTTTTTTACCATTTTTTATGATTGAGCGAAAGTTTAGCTTATTAAAGATTTCTTGGCAAGAGCTAGCATCCAACAAGACAATGCAGATATTTACATCATTCACATCTCCATGTAAAATTTCGGTTGCAACATGATGGAATCCATGATTTGAAGTGGTTGATCATACAAGAAGGCACCTATAGCATTGGGAATTAGGATGAATTAACTAAAGATCAACCAGATGATACATTAAACAGTTACAATTGATTCTTATGGATCTGGGGTCATTCCTACATGCATTCATTTTATTTCAGTTGTTCCGCTTGTAGAAAGACATAAATATTTTTTAAAAAACATCATGTGAAACTGAATTTCTCACATTTTATTATCCAAATGATCTCAATCCTATTTTCCGTTCAGCTTTGAGATTGCTCTTGACAAATTTAATGCATGCCCTAAATTTATATGGATCGAAAGAAAACATTTACGCCAATATAGAGAGAGCCATCAAGGAATTAAAACCTCCTTCAGATGAATCGCTGAATGAATGGACAATTTATTGTAGAATGCGCAGATAATATAATTTGTTATTCTAATTATAAGCATGTTTTATTTTTAAAGTATAATGAATCGAGTCGAATCCAATTTTTTTGAATTCGAATCATGATTCGGTTAGATCCAAACAAAACGAATTGAATTGCTTTAAGATCCGACTCGCTCGGAACCTTAGTTATAATAAGTCATTTGTTGAGAACAAGCGTTTTGATATTGAACAAACTGTGATAATGATGAAAATTAAAGAAACAAATAAACCAGTTAGTTGGAATATATCCAAACAGATAAAAGTTTTACATTCAAGGTTGATTAAAATCAATTAAATGTCAAGTAGAATCAAAATCCTGAATATGTAATATAAGTATAATAAACGATAGTTCTATAGATGATATAGTTTTTCATTAATAACCGATAAGTTTTGATGAATAAAACCTTTATAACAGTATTAGAAACGAACTTTACTGTTATCATTATTGGCTTGGTAGTTATGAAAATGATTTGAAACTTAGAAACAACAATAAGGGAAAAAAGCGCGCGTGAAATTCAAATTAGTCAAAATTTTGCACCCAATTTTTTTTACATGAAGAGCTTACAAAATTCATGTCAAATCGAAAAATTTGTATGTAAATTCTTCAAAAACTAAGCTATATTATCATGCAATATTGCTACATGTAGTTTGAACACCGGTGTAAATACTTTTGTCCAGATATAATATCAAACTATCATATACACATGTCGCTGGCAATTTAATTATTTATTTTATTTACCTATGACATATGTCCGATAACTTTCTACGGAGTATATGCCGACTTTCTATTCCTCCAAAGAGATAGCACTTAAAATTAACCTGCACCACAGATAAATAATCCATATTTTCCTTTCCAAATTTCCAAAATGTACATTTACTAGGTTGAGTGCGTAACCTTGACAAGGTACTTGACTAAACTAAGTCATATGTCAGGTCAACTTTAGTCAAGACATTTATTACTAAACCAGGGGTTTACGTCGGTGACATTATTTTTAAAAAGTATGCCCGATAATACTATATTAAAGTAACTTCCACGACGAATTAGTGAACTGCATGCTTCATAATACATAATCTTATTATCTTATTATCATATGATGCATATATACTAACAAGGATTTCAAGGATCAAATGAATTTGGCAAAATAAAAAGGGTCTGGGACACTTTACCGACAATCAAAGTAAAGTCGAACTTGACATAGTAATGGTCTTGCGAGGATCACCACGACCTCCACAGAAACCACAAGATCGTAATTGTGAAATACGGATTCAAACAGTATTGAATGATCGTAACATTAGATTAACTATAGAGTTTCTTCGGGGCATTGCCCATAATATTTCATTTTAAAATTTTTTTTTTGTGTATAAAAATAATTATAATTAATGCATCACAATAAACAAATTTAATAAAAAAACATGAATATGCAATTTTTATCAATTTCGTCAGACAAAAAAAAAAATATTACACATGTAACTATATTGTATTTTTATGAACTGGTTTTTGATACAAAGTAAGGATAATAAGTTGTGTTATTAGTTAATTAACGGTTGATCTAACTTGTCTTTAAAAAAATCCAAACTTTTAGCTAGTTATCCAGGTCTTCACACAGTCCTTGGCAAATTGTTAACACAATGATTGATTGTCGGTAAAGTGTCTTGTCGGTAAAGTGTCCGGGTCCGAATAAAAAAATGATTACTAATGGAATAATGCAGATCACACTTCAAGAAAATTCTTTCGCGTTTAGTATTTCTTTAAGAAATCATTATTTTAAAAATTCAGCTTCAAGAATAAGAACAAAGAAAGTTCAGATTTTGGTTTGCTCCATATAAATTAATTATACTTCTGTCACTGATAAATTTTTATTTGATTAACTGAGTTTGTTATTTTTTAAATAGGGTAGGGACCTGCCTGGGCTTTTGCCTAATAGTCTCCGACCCTAGGTCCAAGCATTTGTTGATGAGTAGGCACGCCACCAACAAACAAAAACCCAGCGGCCTGATGGGGCGATGGAACTAAATACCCAAGACCAACCAGGTTGGAGTCACGTGAATTGTAGAATTTCAAATCAATTGCAGACACTAACTTTATTCTAGAATAGAGGTAACACGAAGCAAACATCACACAAGTGCCGACCCACATCAGTGATCAATGCAAAGTATACTAATACAGGAAATTGGTATTAAATTTTAGTTCCTCATATGGTAATGGCCAAGCTTGGTCTGAGAGGGAAGTTTTTGCCAACCTTACAAAAGCCTTCCAACTTATTCAAGTCTCTTTCAACTGTGGGAAAAAATTCCATGGTATTTAATTACATGGCGCTTGCATGTTTGTGGTAAGGAAATTTGACGCTGAAATCAATATCGGTCGGATTTAGAAATCATGTTTTTTAGAAATGGTTTTTGAAACGATTTTTAAGGAACTGCACGAATTTGCATTCGTGTACAATTGGGAAGCACACACGCACAACACACATCTACAAGATACTAAAGTTACCCACTGCCATTGTCCTACTTGGAAAGAGATTTTAGATTAAAATCCAATAATGACATCATTCATTTTTAAGGGAAATGAAAATCACCACTCTGCCAGATTTTCTCATCTTTGCTTGTGTGTATGGCTCTCCTGAAATCGGTGCCTTAAAAATTTTTGATCCTAATGTTATCATTACATGGACGATACAATTTATTTATTTTTATTTGAGAATAACAACTTCAAACTATTTATAATAAAGAATATAATACACAACATATATAGATGAAGGCGTTCACACGCAAGGAAAGGATTAAACAACAACAAAAAAAGTAATGTTTGTTTAGAAAAATATTAAAAATCACCAGAATAATTACATAGGAGGAAAATACTTGGACCCCAAAGTCATTGATATCCTTTGGTTACTCTGCAGAAATTTCTATATTATGCTACAAATTTTGGTCCCTGAATCCTTGGTATATATATATACAAATGTTCACTTTATCTGGTTTTGTTACAGCATGTCACATATAATATAATAATAAATTTTTTTTTTTAGCTTAAATAATAAATTTTACAAACATTTTATGTTTAAAAAAAAAGCTTACGGGACCTTTTCGGGACTTTTTTTCAAAGGACTTTTTCCAGGATTTAAGTCCGGTCCGGTCTCAATATAGGACTGCCGCCTCAAGACCGGTCTGGGCTGTTTAGGATCGATTAACATCTCTAAAAATTATTTGCTATATACTCCATGATAAATATTTGTGATTTTTATTGGTCAGGACTGATTGTTCCATCCCTATATGCATATTTTAGAAAATCCTACCACCATTACTAACACTACATACAGTAAAACCTCTATATGACGAAACGTTTATCTGGGACACTTATGTTCGTTATAATGGGGTTGGGTAACGCGTATACTGAATTTATTAGTAAGAATCAGCAAATTCGTTATAGCAAGGTTTCGGTTTACGCGTACACCGAATTTATTAGTAAGAATCAGCAAATTTCATTATAGAGAAAATTATAAAATATAGATTTAAAATCAATTAAAATAATCAGTAAACATGGATTGAATTCTATGCTTTACTTTTACATTTTCTAAGAATTCCACAAACAACCTATAAACCTTTATTTGTAACTCCATCACCTTATTGCTCTAAAAACAAAATATCGTTTCCAAAATTTTAGCAACCTCAATATAACTAATACAAGGTTCTGATTCTATTTCTGACTCATCATAATCTGATAAATTATTACTTAATCTGGAACAGTTGTCTTCCTTTTTATTTTAATTAAAAAATTTTTTTATTTAATGTCCTTATATAAATCACCAATCATATCAAAGAATTCATTTTGTGACCACATGTTTCGCCAAAAAAGAGAGTTTCAGTAAGACGGTATAGCGAGCATTCATATGAAATTTCGGTATAAAGAAGTAAAAATCACACGAGAAAAAAACTTTTGTTAAATCGAGGTTCATTATATAGAGGTTTTACTGACAAATCTTCTGTTTTCATCATTATATATTGTGGCTGTTTTTTTGTAAAAATCACATCATTCAGAAAATCTTAATAATAGGTGAAAGAACAATTTCAGTAAAATAGATACTCGCAATAAATCAGTCATTATTTATATTATCAAGTACTTTAAATAATTGATTGAGAGGATGAGTTTACCCGTGTAACAAATAAAAACAAAAAATCATATTTATTGTTAAAGCTAACAATAAAATTTTTATTTACAAACATTCAAGTCGAAAGTTTTATACTAATATTAACGCCTTTTTTCTATTTTCAAACAATATTTAGTCATACGATTTTTTTTTCTAAATCTAATCTCAAATTTAAAAATCGTAAGATCTCAACGTATTACAAAAATCACGTGGATCGGCTTATTGAGAGCTGTTCGATATTAATATTAATAATACATCAATATATTTAATTACATTAATATGTTGTCTGACATGACATCAAAGGATAGAATAAAAATTTGTCCAAGTTAAGCCAAACCCGACTTACTAAGTTTTACCAGTAATAAATAATGATGATGATGATGTAAAGCGGGATAATTTAATTTAGTCAATTATAGCTTTAAATGGAGAATCTGCTTGATTAAAGAATTGAATTTTATATATATACAGTATAGTCAAACAAATTAATGAATGATTAATCAAATCTAATTGAGTTGTATTTCTGATGACATCTCATCAACAATCACTTTAAAGGATGTTTTGTTGGTAAACTGGAATGAGATGTTTTAATTCTAGTTAGAACAACACTCATTATTTAATTATAACATCATATAGAATGAAATGTTAAGACAAATAAATTTTTATAGCTTCCTGTTCTTGCTTAGTCTCAATAACATTGTTTTATAAGTATTTCCTCTTTAAGGGTGTTATTGGCGCTTCTTATGATTTTTATCTTTTGTGGTTTCCTCCCATACTTATACACTGTGTATTAACATTAATAATCGTAATCGGAACACTGAGAGAATTATGTACCACCAGGGAAATCTGAATTTGTTGAGCCACGTGTTCCATGTGTATCTTTAACTTTATTTCTTTTTTTGGTGTCTGATTGGCTGTTTTGTCATCAAAAAATGAATAAAATTCCCACATTGAATTGTTTTATTTATTATTCAAAAAAAAAAAATGAAATTTTCTTTTAGTTCATACATGCCCTCCACAAAAAAATTTAATAGTTTTCTACCAACTGAAAATGATAAACTTAAGCATTCTATAGCGGGAGCCGTTGCAGGTTGTGTTAGTTCTGTGGTTACTTGTCCTTTAGATGTGGTCAAGACAAGGTTACAAAATCAGGGGAAAATTTCTGTTAATAATAGAATACCGCTATACCGTGGAACTGGAGGTATTCCTTCCTTATATTTTGCACACTTTACATTTTACGTTATATATTTTATATATTCTCATCGTTTTTCTTGTCGATTTATTATTTATTTAATTCAGGTACTTTAAAAAGAATATGGTTAGAAGAAGGAATTAGAGGCCTTTATTGTGGGCTTGGACCTACATTATATGGATATTTACCAACATGGGCAATTTATTTTACTGCATATGATTATTTCAAATCAGTTTTGATAGAGCGTACAGGTAAGAATAGAAGAGCGAATGAGAAGAAAACGGATTGAATTTAATTTATTATTATATGGGAGATTAATTTTAGGTGGATTTTCTATATTTTTACTTTTTAGAAATTTAATATTTATATATTGCTTATTTCTTGGGGAATTCTTGGAAAAAAGAAGATTAAAACTTTAAATTTAATTAATAAATTTATATTTGCATATTTTACATACATATACATATCACATATCACACATACAATCACATCTACATAGTCATGCACATTCTCATATATGCACACGAATAGAGAAAAATCAATAAATAGATTTACATTTTTTAATTAACACTTAAATGATTTAAATAATAACATTTTCAACAAAAGTATGCAAAGATCATTTTGTTCTTTAAAATATTATCAATCGATCGAAAAAAAAAAATAATAATTTATATTTATAATTAATTATATACTTGTATATTTATTTATCATAATTAATATGAAAGATGATATTTAAAAATAGAAGGTTAATAACAATTATTTGATTCATTCATCTATTCTATATTTTTAATTTAGGAAAAAATACCAATATTGATAATCACTGGATAGTGCATATATTTGCGGCTATGGGTGCAGGTGCAACAAGCGCAATAGTTACTAATCCATTATGGGTGATCAAAACAAGATTTATGGTAGATATTAAGATAAATAATATAATTAGATATTTTGCGAGAAGGAAAAAGATTAATCAATAATTATTGTTATTAATGATAATTATTAGACACAAAATCAATCAACATCCTACAAATATAGAAATACATTTCATGCTTTCACAACAATATATCGTCACGAAGGAATGAAAGGCTTCTATAAAGGTCTTGGCCCCTCTTTATTGGGTGTTACTCATGTGGCAGTGCAATTTCCTTTATATGAAAAGATGAAAATTTGGCTTAGTAAGTATTTTTATATTTTTGGAAAAATTAAAATGCGTATTTAATTAATCTGTTTGTTTGTTTGTTTGTTTGTTGATTTTTTAAGGATCACCAGACAAAGAATATATATCCAACGTATCGATTTTATTTGCCTCATCGATTTCAAAAATGACTGCGTCATTAGTAACTTATCCACATGAAGTTGTTCGAACAAGATTACAAAATCAAACTGTCAAACCTTTTAAATATAAAGGATTATGGGATAGTGTTAAAGTGATAAAACAAGAAGAAGGTTTTTTGGCTTTTTATAAAGGAATGTCGACAAATTTACTTAGAACGGTTCCTGCAAGTGCCTTAACCATCTTAACTTATGAAGTGTTGGTTAGAAAATTGAATGCAAATAATTCAAAAAAACAACAATAGCTTATGACTTAACTTACAAAGTGTTATTTGCTGAAAACTTGAATCAAAAAAAAAAAAAAAAACAATAATAATAATCAATCTTTTTATGTAACCAGTACACAATCAGTAGTAATTCATCCATTCATCCATTCATTCATCCATCCATCATCATCATCATACATTTATTGATTCGCTTATCACATCCTACCTAATTCACCTAACCGATATTTAATCATCATACTCAACATGCTCTCATCTCACCCAATTCAAGCTAATCATTTAGTGATCGCTTATTTGCTATGATGACATAATAGACATTTTAATATTGACAATAAAAAATAGTTCAACTATTTTTTAGGATGGAATTTGAAAGACAGACGATTTGTTATATTTATTGTTTTTTGTTAAATATTTTATAATAGTCGCGTGTAATAAAAAAAACAATATTAAAGTAGAATGCATTTATTTATTGATGCGACGACTGCATTTTAATATCTAATATATACTAATACTAATGACCATAAAAAAAAAATACCTTTTTTGTTGGGTTGAATAAAATTCGTTATGTAAATAATGAACGAATATTTAAATAAAATAAAAGGATATTTATTGTATTACTTCCCCAACCGAATCATGGTGCTCTCTACACTTATTAACTCAAAGATGGACCGAGTGATCAACCTTTTAATAATTGATATCAAAAGTCAAAATTATCTCAAAGTCAAATTTTAAATGCAAATTTTTCTTGAAGTTGATTGTATTGTTGTGTCCCGCGGGTGATTGATTGCTTTGGTTTTGAAATTAATTCATCATTTAAAGTCCGAAATCAAGGGATCTGAAAATAATGAGGATGATAAGGATGGATAATATAAAGTTTTAACTGAACTTGAAATCTGGAAAAAATGGACTTTCAATCCGAAAAATGCATTGGATTTACTTTTTTTGTTTTATTATACTATATTCAATATTTTTATTGTAAAAAAAATCCAAGATACTGCTTGCATGCAAGGAAATTCCGAATGATCCATTAAAGTATGTTGGCTCATTCTTAATATCCCACAAGATTAGGAAGGTGAAAATTATGACAAGAGAAACAATTGGGTAAAATTAAGCATCTTTAATATTGATTTTGATATGTTAAAGGAATACAAAAACAAAAATTTAGATTCTTATCAAATCAATACTCCAGAAGGCTAAATAATGTTGATTTGCAAAAATACACAAATTAATTTTTTTTTCAAAATAAATATTAAAAAGTTAAAATGTCCTTTGCTAAATTATTAACACCAGGCAGAAGAGAACTAGTACGTAAAATTCAGAATGAAATGAATGGCATTGCTTATTCTGCTTTTCCGACTACTTCTGATTCTGACCTTGAAGGTGAAAAAAGTTATTTTTTACAATTAGTCAAAGAAAACAAAGAACTATTAGAAAATGAAAAGGAATATTGT